GCAGTATCATTGGCCAGAGGAGTAGTCCATTAGCCACCTCGGTGGCTAATGGACACTCCTCTGGCCAATGGATACTGCCTTGCCACCGTATGATCTGCTTGGAGATTACCATTTCTGTATACAGTCCCCATCGACGATGTGTCACTTTTGTCCATCGTGTATAAAGAAAAATTCTGACTGATATAAAAAATCTCCACAAAACTTTGCAGCAGGATATCATATAACACAAAACTAACTGACCAGCTATGTTTTCCAGGCCCCGGCACCAGCTCTGACCCGTGCTCTGACCTCTACCACGGACCGTCTCCCTTCTCCGAGGTGGAGACAGAGGCGGTCTCCAACTGGGTCCTGGCCAACAGCAACAACATCAAGTCATACCTGAGCGTGCACGCCTACTCCCAGATGTGGATGACTCCGTACGGATGGACCTACGCCCACCCGCCAGACTACGAGGATCAGGTGAGTTGGACATGTACTGCCTCCTATTGTCGTTTGTTTGTTTGTTTGTTTGTTTGTTTGTTATGTTTACCGAAGGAAATAAACATATTGTTTCTGCTCTGTTTCTTCTTCTGTTCCAAACCTGGTCAATGACCTGAACCAGACCGTCTGTCACCATGGTAACTGGTGTTGGGTTACACAGTGTTGCAATTTTATAGTAGGAGGGATTTAGACTCCTGTCACTATATATGTGAATGTGTTTGAGTAAAATGTAGACCATATGCGAAGGTAAACATTATGCAATTGCTTTGCAAGTGTTACCTTTCTAGTTTGCTAGTCTTATTGGATAAATAAATGCCACACTATTCTGGAGTCCTTCAAACACATGGAGGGCATGTAATATTGTGACTCTCTTCCCCCAGTATTCCCTTGCCGGAAGGATCGCAGGCGCCATTCAGGGTGTCCACAGGAAGAGGTTCGCTTATGGAACCATCGCCGACGTCATCTGTGAGTACAATGTTACGTACAGTGATAATTGTATTACGAAAATGCATTATCTTATCCATCTTTACCTAACCGTAGCTCTCTAGTCCTTCTAAGTCTATCACATCAGGAAATTCTCGAATCAAATAGCGACTAAAATCAGATACACAACGAAAAGTTAATTGCAAATTCGTGCCCGGAGGCTAATTGCAAATTACAAAGCATAAAAGAACAATGAAACAGAGTATAAAATACTAGTAACTAAAATCTACATGATGAAGGTAGCTGTCTAGAACTATAACTATGTCTAAAACTATGTCTGAAGGGTTTGACTTCTCTTCTGTAAACCATGGAAGACGTAATGTCCCACCTTTTCCAAAATTTGTGGGTTTTGGGAAGTTAAAGAATAGTTTTTTCTTGGTCTATGAATGGGTTTTAAACGACGTTTTTTCCCAGACGAGGCGGCAGGATCCAGCTGTGATTGGGCTTACTCCAAGGTTGGAGTCAAGTATTCCTTCGCCATCGAGCTCCGTGACGAGGGGCGGTACGGATTCGTCCTGCCTGCCGACCAGATCCGACCCTCGGCCGAGGAGTTCTTCGCAGGGCTTATGGTAAGTAACGCCCTGACCTGGAATGGCGTGGCGAAAGTTTAAGTAACAATATATATGTCCCATGGTACATCATATCATTTCCTAAATATCTTCAGTGTGGTACTGCTTAGTGCTAGTATAAAAATTGTAACAGGTACAATATATGGCAAGCTCTTCAGAGATACTAACTGATATCTACTCTAACGTCTATAGTGATGCTTATTGTATGTTCTATGTATCGAGACAAACACTATTCTATTTCATAAAGGTGATACAGTATATATGGAACATGACTTACATGACAATATACAATATACATAAACATACATACGTGTATGTATAATCGCATTTTCGTCTTCAACTGTGAGATGCACTAGATGAACTTGACTTCTGTCAACTGTTTTTCCTCTTGTCTAGAATGACTACACGTGAGTATCTGTGTGCTGATACTAAACTGACAGCTGTATAATGTGTTTATTGCTAGCGCTTGTTGTGTTTCCCCGAACCCTCAGGTCCTGGCCAGCCAAGTGCAGCTTGAGTACGCCTAAGTCCCGGAGGCTGTCACAGCAACTCTTCCGTTTAATAAAAACTGAAAGCTGCCGATATTGTGCTTCATTTTTTAATAGAGTTAATACTATTTTGGGCCCGGGTCTTAACAGTATCAGTGTCGCTGTTGTGGGCTCTCTGATCCAACATAATAAGCTCACCAATCTAACCTACCTGCGATATAGTGACCACCTCAGTAGCAGATAAATATTTGCAGCACTATTGAAAAGGAAATTTCACTTCCGAAAATAGTTTCACCAGGTTGGCGAATGATTGAATAGCAATCTCATTCAACTTCGGTGCACAGCAAACAAGTCATAATTGCCCTGATGAAGATGACAGAGGGTCATTGAAACGTTGTCTCTTGTTAAACAAGTGGTTGTGAAGAAAGAACTTTGCTTTCCGAAATTTTACTTCGTTCTAACGCTGGTTAGGGATCCATTGTGTCCGTATATGGTCACGTATGTCGACCTTCGTGACAAATCAAATATTATTGACAGTAGGTGACCCCAGGCGCGTGATAGAGCGAAGGTACAGTACGTCACATGAGACCGGCCCAGGGTGTAGGGACGTCAAAAATTACGCCACTCTACCCACAGTCTCTCGGTAAGGTTGTCAAACTTCATTGCACAACAATTGTTACTGGTATACAATGTATGGCAATGTCCTCAGAGGTACTACATACCTAGCTGATATATAATTAACGTCTACAGTAATGTTTGTAAGTTCTATGTATCGAGACTAACACTATACTATTTCAGTAGTAGTAGTAGTAGTAGTAGTAGTAGTACCTGTCCAAATCCATGTCCTTCAGCATAGTCATTTGGGGTCAGCCAAATGTCTCACTTGTTTGAGACTCCGATACCGTGTGTTTAGATCTATTGTTGTGTTACTTTGGCATGTTAATACTTGACGTGGTATGCGCCAATGGTGTCGTTATTCCCTATTCAAAGCTATGATATAGTTTCAGATATACATTGTACTTTAAAATATACTGGATTTCGCTAACAATATGTACTCGTGGGCTCAATAAAATGGCAAAAAGGCACTGAGTAGAAAGCAATAGGCTGTTCCCGTAGGCAGTATGTAAACTTTGTAAGGGAACTTTGACCTGTGTAGTACAAACAACAAGAAGTTTGTCGTGTCACAATTGCCACTGGTACCGTGTGAAAGTATGTGATTGTGTTTGGACAACGTACTTAGGTAAACACAGAATTACAAATATAACTATCACAAAAAGGGACCAACATAATACTCCCATACAAATAAGGTAAAACACGGAGCAGTTTCAAATACGGATTTTAATGTTTATATATTTATAAAAGATACAAAATATTGTCAGGAATGGTCAGGAATGATAGGGTTTTGCTATTCAAATATGCTTTTTTTTTGTAGGTGTCGAATCGTCATCATGAATGCCCTGCTACTTTTGTTCACCGTCACTGTGGCCTCTGCCATTACTCGCTTCGATAGGTAAGCAATGCCAGGTCCAAATCACCCCCCTCCCCGTTGTTTTCGAGCAAATATAGCTGTACTTTATGAATAAATATTAAAGAACCATTCGTATTTCTCCGTATACATCATTTGCCCACACATCTTTTTTTTCATACCATGACTCAGTAGTTAACATATGGTAACTCTTTAGCTGTGTAAGGAGAGTTTGTGATAATTATACCAGATTCTGACGTTGAATTGTTCCTTACTCATCTCAGAGAACAGGTGCTGCGAGTTATTCCTCAAAATGAGCGCCAACTTCAGGACCTGGTGAGGCTGGAGAGGGAAGACATCCGGGTAGGTCATTTCTGCACAGACCCATACTGTAACAATCTTCATCACTGTTGAATTTTCGCTACTGTGTCGTTGTTTCTTCAATGAGTGTATTGTCAGGAAGAACTGGTTCGGATATTCGATGTTACATGTTGTAAGATAACACTAGCGTATTCCATTAATTTGATTTGACTGAATATGTACATGATGAGATCCATAACAAAACTTTGTTACGTTTCAGCTGGACTTCTGGAAGTCGCCAGGGGGCGTGTTCCGGCCCGTGGATGTACGTGTGCCCAGGAACCTCCTCACGCACGTCAGGAAACTGTTGGGCAACACTGGGATACAGTACACGGTAGGGGCGAGAAATCTGTCCATGAATAAACAGACAGATATCATAAACGACCAATATGCAATTAACTTTATTGCACAACAATTGTACAGGGTACAAAGTAAAACATTATACATAAAAGTAAAACATTATATAAAACACACTAGATGGAAGATCATGAAATGGTGGTGATATTTCGTGATTTTTCTAAATAACAAGGGTAACAACTTTATTGCGCACCAATTGTACAGGGTACAAAATAAAACATTATATATACATGTAAACATTATATATTATATAAAACACACGAGATGGAACATCATGAGCTTGAAACTTTGGAGAATTGTGGAGGTGATATTTCGCGATTTTTTTTAATAACAAGGATAACAAAATTAACATGTCATCTAAAACTTAACATGTCATCTCACAAGGTTTTCAAGTAATGATTTGACAGTTTGACCTTTGGTTTATCTCGTGACTAACCAGGTGATGATCGACGACCTTCAACAACTCATCAACAACCAAACGTCACCGTCGATCACCAACGAGTTTGACTTCGATAACTACAACAGTTATGAGGAGGTAAGTACTGTCATTTCGTATTTCTAGTAAGTATTTCTGTTACGTATGTTCATGGTTTATTTTCATGACATGACTCGCAGCCATGTAGCAATTAGACTTGATGGTTTCCTTCATTTTGATTTTATGAATCGTGGCCAAAATAAACATAATGATGATTTTCTTCATTTTGATGATATGCCTCGTGGCACAAATAAGCCAACAACGTTAAGTTAAACACATACAAAATAGTCGTGATCAACTTTGTTGTTGTCTCAGAAAGTTCAATGTGATATTTTGTCCTGATTTATATTTTATAATTACCTGATTTAACACTCAGCTGCTTATTTGACACTGCGCACTGTGCCTAATCTACCCTTTTCTCATAGATCAATACGCAGCTGCAGGACTTCGCTGACAAGCACCAGAGTCTGACGTCACTCATCAAGATCGGCGTCTCACACGAGTCCCGCGATATCTACGCAATCAGGGTATTCTATGTGGTTATTGTCGCAATGACTCAGTACGTACAGATGTGGACGCAAACTGTGCTAATTTGTTGTTGCATGTCCAGATCACAAGATGTTAACAAAACATTCAACTGCACTACCATAGCAAGCCACCAGGGGGCCCAAAATCTTATTATTTTGAGGTTTCCTAAAGATCTACCCACATACCAAATATCTAGACAATCCACCTAGGCAGTTTAAAGTTATCGTGTTAAAGGACAGAGAGACAGACACGCACACACACACGCGCATACCCCAAAACATAACCTTCTTTGCGAAGGTAATAACCTGTATCACTACACAGGTGGGAAGTTCTGGGACCAACAAGCCCGCCATCTTCCTGGAGGGACAGATCCACGCCCGGGAATGGATCGTGTCTGCCACGCTGCTCTACAACATCAAGTTCGTAAGTACATATTCCAAAGTATGAGATACTCAGAGCAAGGACATTATACAGAATATATGTCCTTGCTCAGAGGAAATAAACAGCTTGATGTTTTGCTTGGTAAAGTCAGTCTTTCTGTAGTAAGCATGGCTTTCTTTGTCCACACCGTGTCTCACAGGTTGCGGAAAGTTACCAAAGACTGATCAATAGATGTGCGTACTTTTAGCGTAGCGTTCGTGTAAGCCATCACGAAATCGCCGGCGAATGCACTTGGGTACACGGCGCCAGCAGTCGAGAGAATGGATGCAGTTGAGGTAATTATGTTAAGATTTGTATTTTTCTTGCATGTAGTTGTTGGACGGGTACGGTACGGATGACCGCATCACCAAACTGATGGACGAGGTGGACTTCTACTTCCTGCCCGTTACCAACGTGGACGGATACGTTTACACCTGGACTACTGTGAGATATGATCATTTTACTATGCCGTACTTGCTGGATGTTAGTGTCGTCTGAAATGCAATGTCCTTTGTGAGCTACATGGAAATTTATCAGTCATTGTCTTGTAGCGTTTTTTTTATCAGTCATTGTAGCACATCCAATGACGTCTTAAAAATCATCTGCTTTGTGGGTCTAAACTAACAAATAAACATTTTGACTTCAACATTGTCGAGCAACTTCCCCCGTCTCTCCACAGAACCGTCTGTGGCGTAAAACCCGCTCCGGTCCGATTGACGGCTGTTACGGAGTGGATCCCAACCGCAATTGGGACGACCATTTTTGGAGGTGAATGTGTCTTACTGCTTCAATAAACATCGTGGTGCCAGATAGCTTTTACGGTCAGGAATAAGTGGTGTGGGTTTGGTCCCTCTAGCAGATTGTTCTGGAACTGCAGGGTACCTTCTGGCGAAATCTTTGAAAGCCAATAAGTAGGGGTGTGGCTTTGGTCCCCCTAGCAGCTTGTGGTCCCCCTAGCAGCAGGGAGGTCTACGAGTGGGGTGTGGGGAAGAGCAGTTTGGTCTACCAGTGGGGTGTGGGGAAGAGCAGTTTGGTCTACCAGTGGGGTGTGGGGAAGAGGTCTTCCGGACAGGGGTCCAATGTAGTGTTTGCAAAAAAAGTGACGAAGGGGTGCCGATGTTTCATGTTTGAGTTTACATTTCTCATAATCTGCTGCAAAATGATATTAACTACTAACATGGCTGGAAAGTGTAAGAAGTGGCGTGTTCTGGGTGAATATTGATTTCGGGCCCGAGGCTTACTTCCGGAAGTCCTTCCGCCTTCAGCGCGGTGCTTCGGTTTGACCTAAATATGCCTTGTATGCGTTCTGGGGGTGCTGTCGCTGTGCCTCCCGCGACGGGCTATTGTGATAATCTCAGTGTTAGGATTTTCTTTATACTTTTCTAAATAATACATAAGGGTTTTCTCTTTCTGACCATATAAGTCGTATCGGTGGCTTAAATCTGTGTGATGGGTTTAATTCCACGTTAAAATGGCCAATTTTCAGCATCATTTTTGATCGAAAAATTCTTTTTCCCCCTAACATTTACTAAAATATGAGAGGTGAAAGAAATTGGAATTCTATTCTTCTCGTAGCTAGAGGGATATCCTTCATTTGCAAACACAGTGTTTTGGCTTAAGAGGTATTTCCTGAAAGAGACGGTCGCTAGAGTTGAGGGTAAGCAGAATCGAATTGAAACCCAAAATAAACTGGGGTGTGCCCCCTTAAGTTCACATTTCTTTTGTTTGTCACTCATTTAATCTGCTTTGAAATGATATTAGGTGTTAGTGTGGCTGAAAAATAATAATAGAAGTGGTGCTTTTTCGGTTGAAGATTGATTTTGGCCTCGATTCTCACTTCCGGGTATTCTACTTTTCTGAAGTATGACGTCAAAACTGGGTCCAAGCTACGTGACACGTCTTACTGGGTCAGTCTACTGAGGAAGACCACAGTAACTGGTCGAAATCTCTAGGTGAGAAACTTGTTGTGTTGGAACATGTAACTACCAAGACAGATGAACTTTCATGATAGTATCTTCTTGGTAACGCTGTTCTTGACGGCCCTACACTACGCAGAACCCGGTGCTAGTGACAACCCCTGCTCGGACACCTACCACGGCCCCACCGCCTTCTCCGAGGTCGAGACGAAGTCCCTGTCCAACTGGGTCCTGGAGAACGGCAAAGACATCAAGGCGTACCTGGCCGTGCACTCGTACTCCGAGATGTGGATGAGCCCGTACGGGTGGACCCACGATCTACCGCGGGACTACGAAGAACAGGTTTGCCACTTTTTTAAGTTCAAACCTTTTCTCTAACACAAGGGATTGTTATCACCTTAGAGCTTTCGACCAGTCACTCTGGTCTTCCTCAGAAGACTGACCCAGTGAGACCTGTCACTTGGCTTCTCTGAAGTGTGACGTCAACACTGGGTCAAAGGTATCCAGAAGAACACTTTTATATCTTTTGGTCCTACAAATATTTACCTTCGCCAAGAAGGTTATGTTTTCAGGGGCGTTCGTGTATGTGTGTGTGTGTGTGTGTGTGTGTCTGTCAACACGATAACTTGAGAAGGCCTTGATGGATTGTCTTGATACTTGGTAGGTGGGTAGGTCTTGATGAGACCTCAAAATGATTAGATTTTGGACCCCCTAGCGGCTTGTTATGGTACTGCAGCTGAACTTCCGGTTTTGATATCTCATGATCTAGACATGCTATGGTGATGAAATTTGGATGGTAGGTAGCTCTTGTGCTGGGGAAGAAGTGACGTGAGTTTGGGCCTCCTAGCGGCTTGCTCTGGAACTGCAGGGATATATTCTTGAAAAGATTCAAAAGGGGATAACTCAAGAACCGGTTGACGGATCGTCGTGATTTTTGGTATGTAGGTAGCTTACGTGATGCTTGATATAATTCTGTGACAATTATTCAAATATGGATGTAATTTGCATAATTTATGGGAAAATTCTATAAATCATCTGCATTCCATGATAGGACAATTGAAGCTTGTGACATTGGTAATTGACAACGAGAGAAACACAGGAAGATATTGATTATGTTAATAATGACTTAATTTGCATAATTAATGAGAAAATTTTATAACTATGTAATGATAACTGCCTGGAATTTCATACTTGTGGTATTTGAAAGTTAAATTGAGGTGAACATCATTAAACATAATTTATTCAAATCAGAACCTCATTTGCATAATTTATTAGGAAATGCTAGAATGCATTGTTTGTTAATATAAGACTGTCTTTTGGTTGAGATTATGATAAAATGATATAATTCATGAAAATTAGGTTCCTATTTCTTAAATCAGGGGGGAATAATCTAATCTATAATTTGTCAGTCATAAAGATTAACATCATTTGGCGAAGGTATGAGATCGGGGAACTCTAGTTACATTTACATTTACACTGGGTTATTTACAATGGTTGATTTTTTGGTAGTGAGTGGAATAACGATACATATTTTCTATATATAATAAACTAATTATAATAACTGGTCTTCCTCCCCTATAGAACGACCTTGGTGCAAAAACTGTTAACGCCATAAGGGAAGTGAACGGTCTGAACTTTAAGCATGGATCCATCGCCAACGTCATTTGTAAGTATCATAGAGAGCAGGACATTCTTATGATATATACATTTTTCCTTAAACCGTCGACACGTAAGAAGCAATTTTCCTTAGTCTATACATTGTACTCATCTTGATCTTGAAGCAATCATCTCCAAAAGCAAAAAAAAAATGGACGGCATGATCTTACCAAACAGAATTTCATAGAGTAACTAAACAAGGGTTTTATCGAGAAAAAAAATGTATATTATTGGTGTAATCCTTGAAACTATATCTCATATCTTACCATTGCTTTTGTCAAAAGTCCTACCTTTCAAAATGCGAGTGTTATAGTAAGTTTTAAGTGTTTTATTACACCATAATACGTTCCAGACGTGACGTCAGGGAACAGTGCGGACTGGGCCTACGACGTGGCGGGGATCAAGTACTCGTACGCCATCGAGCTGCGCGACAACGGGCGGTACGGCTTCGTCCTGCCGCCCGAGCAGATCAAACCGTCAGCCGAGGAGTTCTTTGCAGCGCTTCTGGTCAGTATTTCGGCTAGCCTGCCTCTACCAGACTTCGGAAGTGGCTGAAAAGAGTAGAAATTGGCCAACTACTAGAGATATATAGACAGATTACATGCCAGGGGAGTTGGTCCGCTAAAGGAGTACATTTGCGGTAAATGTACATTTGTACTCCTTTAGAGGACCAACTACCCCTTCATGTTATCCGTTGGCCAATTTCTACGTACTCTTTCCAGCCTGCAGCTGTTCCAAAGTCTGGAAGATGCTATATAAATATGAATGTACAATACAGGTATATTTGACACATTGAATGGAAGAAAAAAAATCGCGTCACACTTTTGTGTTACACATTCAGAGAGTTAGGTGTAGGTGTTAAGGAATTGAAAGGTTAATTTCAAAGATCTTTACTTAAAGTTTTCTTCACTCTACAATTTCAGGTTGTGGCCGAGCAAATCGCTAATGAATGATCTCCATGAATTCTGGACAAGACGTGGTGCGTCGAAGCATCTACTTCGTCAGACACGCCTTGAAATAAACTATGAGTGCAGACACTAGTGTTGAAAGTTCATTTGAGTTAATTAACATACAACAATCGCATATTATGATATGTTATAGGCCTCAAACAAACGCATGACAATCAAAATACCCACCAATACAACCCAAGCAGCTCCCCTGGCGCCCAAGTTTATATTGCATCCATGCAGGCGTCCATAAAAGTCAGTGTGGCCTGGCTGAAGAGTACAGAACTTTTATGTCCTCAGCAGTCCTGTGTAAGATTTACTCCTAACGTAATTGGTACGATTGGTGGTTTTCTTTTAATGATCGCTGAACTCCGCCCGTGTGGACCGCATGGGGCGTGTTGGTACCGCTGAGCGGCGGGGTGCGCCGAGTGGCCGGGAGCCAAGCTAATTACGTCGTCAGTTTTGCGCCATGTCTTGCCCGAGGGGGCCACACAAGGTCACACCACACGGGGAGGGGAGGCAGGGCTGCCTGATTGGTTTTTGAAGCGCCAGCGGTGCACCTGTTCAGCACCCAGCGGTCTTCCCTGGGACCACTTGTAAGGTCGTGATGTGAGGCCATGTCGGTGACATTCCGTATGCACACAGATATGTCAACCTTTATATTAGGATCAATTCGTATGATTTGTTTTTGTAGAGAGGCTAATTTAGCTCTTATCAAATCTCTGTAACAAATCAAATCTAGGAACTGCATGTTGATCTGATTGCTGTGAATTTGATTCAAGACTTGTTCCCACATGAAAAGACGGTTAGTCCAAACATTGAAGTCTTTCTCCTCCATGCAGTATATCGTCTGACTCACGGCATGTTCTGTCAACCTCAGGAATAAGACCTTTTTTCTCTCGTGACCATCATGATAAGTCTTTTCATATTACAAGCTGAATATTCACCCATATCTGCACTGTGTTTTGCAGGAAAAAGTTGTTCTTATGAAAAAGTCTTTTTATGTGACTCAAAGTTTCCTTTTCCTCAGGACCAATACTGTGAACTATATATATATGTGTTAGTGCAATTTCTTGTTTCACAAGTCAGAGACCTAGTCAAAGCGGCTAGCCACTCGCGATACGTACACCTGGGTTAGATTACGACAGTTAAGCCGCACACACACCACTTCTACTGCCGGGATTTCTTACGCTGAGTTTTAAGTCTTCAATCTTCGGATTTTTCTCGGCAGGGGGTCAGAACACAATCAGAACATGGCATCCAGTAAAGTCTCACTCCCCCGGGCCTGGAAGATGGAAATCCGCTAACTGCTGTGCAGTGCCAAAACGGTAATCTCCAAGCAGATCTTTTGGTGGGGGTAAGACAGTATCAAATTGGCCAATCTGTTATTACCATTTCTCCACCAAAAGATTTGCTTGGATATTACCAAAACGGCCCTTCGAAGGGGAGGGACGGGTCATGGCAGGGAGTAACGTCACCTGAGACTGTGTATATCATGTAGGAAACTCTTGGACACATGCACACTGATACACAAACACACATACACACAAGGCACATGCTCACAATTGCAACACGCACGCGCACACACACACACACACACACGGCACACACACACACACACACACACACACACACACACACACACACACACACACACAC